GCCGCCACTGGTGCCCCTCTCACCACGTTCCCCGGGGACCCAGTGTCTGGCCTGTTCACCCTAGACACCGCGTCCCCCCAGGTCGTCGCGCCCAACCAGGCTGCTGCGTCTTGCTCGTGTCGGTCGCTAACGCACCTGTCGCTGTTGTGGCACTACCGCCTAGGTCACCCCGCACTCACGCGTCTGCGTTACATGTCCCATCACGGTCTTATCTTAGGTCTCCCTGCCCTCTCTCCCTCACCTGCACCGCAGTGCACGCCCTGTGTCGAGGGCCGGCTGCGCCGTGCTCCTCACTCCTCCTCGCTTCCCCCTACCACTTCGCCACTCCAAACCCTGCACCTGGACGTCTGGGGCCAAGCCCCCGTCCCTAGGCCGCGTCGAGAGCGCTAGTTTCTAGTGCTTGTCGACGACTACACACGCTACACCACGGTGTTTCCCCTAGAGCGTAAGGCTGACGTGCTTGACGTTCTTATCCTATGGGTCGTAGCTGCGCAAGTCCACCGCGGCCTCCCTGTGCTGTGTCTTCTACATACTTGTATATTGTTATATGCTAGATAGGTGGATGCTTATAAAGAGTATAGTACTGTAGCACAAAACCTGCCTGTATGCCTGATTCTAGTCATTGCGTAATTCTGAGACCTGCTCCTCCCAACCCACCCCGTCAAATCTCTGATCCCTTCGGCAAGCTGGGTGAATCCTAAATCTCTCGCCTACACGAAATCACTTCGCCAACATAGCCCCTTCAGCATTTGGGCCATTTGGACCTAAATGTATACGGCGGCTAAGGAGCTACATTTTCATTTGTTCAAATCATTTTTCCATAAAGTATATTTGATTACAAGCACATGCCGCATTTTAAGGTATTTCATACAAGGGCATATGCACCAAGTATATCCGGGGGATGACGGCACCACAAAGAAACACACACTTTGAAAAGTGGGTTCTCATCTCACAAGGCCACGCCAGAGCTAACAGCCTCCCTAAAACGAATGAGTGCCAATTGGAGATACACATGTTATTTTAAATTGTTTACCACAAGCCCCCAGATTTCAGGCCATTTACCCAGATTCAGGGTTTTTTCAGAGTGTTTGCTTGTACCAGCCATGAACTGCTGGGGTTTTTTTGGCACCCAACCCTGAAATTTCAGCTTTTTTATCACAGTGAACTCTGTCTGTATAGCGATGTTAGTGTTATGGACCCTGTTGCCTCTGCCTACTATCGGGCTGCAGGTACTAGCCTGAATCCTGCAATACCGTGATTCGGGGGCCCTGCCGTAACCTCCGCCCGTTTCCCCTGCTCGATGTGTGCTGAGGGCTGTGTGATGGCACTTTTTGGCCCTTAGAAAGATTCATGGCTAGTGTGTGCTTAGGGCTGTGTGAGGGCATACGTTGGCCCTTGGAAAAAATTAGGCTAGTGTGTGCTGGGGGCTGTGTGAGGAGGACACATATGGGTTGGGCCCTTAGCCAAATTTACGGCCCAGTGCGTGCCTTGGGGGGCTTTGTGTGAGGGCGAGCCAGATTCCCCTTTTCTGCCCCTGCAATCTTGTTCAGCTAACCAATGGGATTGGTCGGTGACGTTCCATCAAAAGACTTTCCAATCTGAATCGCGCCAAAGCGCATGAAAAAAGAAGTACAGCGGAGAATTTTATGGTAACTCTGATAGCTAAGTGAGAATGTTTCAAGGAACCCTGAAAATTCAGTCAAGTTTTGGGGGAGGCCCTAAAAAATCAGACTAAACAAGGGGGGGGGGGACCCTGAGCAGGGCTTATCTTTGGGTTTTCACGTCTGATTTTCGCAAGTGACTCCTTGCTGAATTCTGATTTTCAGAGTGCCCTGGAGGTCGAACTCTGATTTGTCAGGTTTTTTCACATTTTTCAGATGAATACTCTGATTTCCACTATTTATGCCCACATGTTATTTCGCACCATTCTGCCTTATCCGGGATGGGTTTCAAATCACATAAGGGAGCGTTTCTGGCCGCTAGTCAAGGTTCTAGTAGAGTCCAACTTCCAGAGCGTTTGAGAGCTTTGCGTGGCTGATGAGAGCGGTCAAGAGCCCTTCACGCTCCACTTGACTAGAATAGAACCTTGAATAACGGCCAGAAACGCTCACATTTTTTCTAGGTGTGTTCCCTTAACGCAATCCCTTCAATTCTGTGTGCAAAGCTTGAGCTGAATGAATGCTGAAATGTGCAAATCTTTATATATTTACAGCCGAAATCTGTCCCGTACAGTCCAAAAACATGCTGAAGAAGTGGTGCAAGTACCACATTTTGGCGTTCGCTAGCAATGTTTTGGCCTGGGCTGCCCAGCTTTTTCGAAGTATAGTAGTCAGCACTGCAATTCGCGTTGGCAGGCCTTTCGCATAGGAAACAACGTCAGCCAAACCTTGCTGAGCTGTCAGAATTGGCTCGGATTTGTGTGGGAGCGAAGTGTGCAGAAATACACGCGAGTGATTGGTTGGCGCATGTGCTGTACCAATCACCTTTGATTTCTGGCGACAGCTACGGTGTTTACAAGTCAGCACAGCGCCAAGTTACACGCATGAAAACTAGCATGACAGACGGAAAGGGCAAGTCAAACAACAATGATCACAGCTGGGTTAGATTGGGCTGGGTGTGGGAGGGAGGAATGTGCTTGGGTTGGAGGGATCAAGAGGATTGTGACTGGTTGCAGAGGACTTGACCAGAAGTTTGAAGGTTGCGGGGGGTATGAGGGGGGGTGTGACTGGTTGCGGAGGACTTAGCCAAAATCATCCAGGTTACAGGAAAATGAGAGAGGTGTGACTGGTTGCAGAGGACTTGGCCAAAATTATCCAGATTGTGTGGGGTATGGGAGGGGTGTGACTGGCAGCCGGAGGACTTAGCCGAATACAGGGAGTACAGGGAGTAACTGTTAGAAACCCAGCCACTAACCACTGAGTTAAAGGGCTTGTTAATAGCGGGTCAGTGCGTCCATAGCCCCCCCTGGCTCTGCACCTGTGGCCCTTCCCCGAGGATCTTCTCAAGGGTAATCACAGCGGGTCACTCGGCACCCCCCCTCACTGGGATAGGTGGAAGACACGAGCGCCTCTGCAGCGCTAGCACTGGGAATTGAACCCGAGTCACCAACACTGTGATACCATGTTAGAAACCCAGCCACTAACCACTGAGTTAAAGGTCTTGTTAATAGAGGGTCAGTGCGCCCATAGCGCCCCAGGCTCTGCACCTGTGGCCCTTCCCCGAGGATCTTCCCAAGGGTAATCCCAGAGGGTCACTCGACAGTAACCCCCTATTGTAAATCCCTCAGGGTGGTACATAGGCCAACTCTGATAAATAAGAGAAAACATATACTTTCAGAAAATTACCCAGGACCATCAGAGTGGTTTTCAAAAATGACTCTGATTTTCAGAGAAACAGAGTAATTTACTCTAATAAAATAAGGCCTGACCCTGAGCAATCAGGGTGCCTTGAAACCAATCTTAGGCCCTGGTTTACCATTTCTGTAAAAAAAACAAAAAACAGAGCCATGTTCTCTCAACTATGGCACTGGTACAATGATTTGTGCAGTAGTGCTAGTGCGCGCTGTTAAAGTAAGCTAGGATCTAGGTAGGAGGGAAGCCATAGAAATGGCGAGAGGTTTTAGGCTAGGAAAGTTGACGAGAGAAAAGAGAGTCGAGAATAGAAGAGAGAGAGGGATACAAGGAGGGGTGTTATACCCTATACAGTAGGTTTCAGTAACGCCTACCAAGCCTACAATTATATAATATATATCTACTTTAACACGCGCTTTAGCCTCGGGCATGTTTGAGAGCGAGACGGAGGCAGAGATAGCTAGTAATTTCCTATCTCCTGCTCAATCATCCGCCACTTCTCTGACAGCGAATGCATGAGGCTCTTGGAAGCAGACGGCACTCCACTAGTTCCCTCGGACCACTCGCTCCTCCCAAACGTGTCCGTGCTGCTGCCCTCGCCACCCACGTGCCTCCCCTCCAAGCGCAGACTGGGTTCAGCCACGGAGGAGTGTCCGTCGGAGGCGCAATGGAGCTCCAGGAGGTGGTGCAGGCGTCGCGCGACGTCCTTCATGTGGGGGCGGCGGGAGGCAGGCATCTTGAGGCAGTCGAGAGCGATGTCTGCCATCTCCACCACCGCCTCATCCGTCGCCTCCAGACTCGCGTCCTTCAGCGCGCCCAGCTCGTACCCTTGCACCCTCTTAGCAGCCTGGGGCAGAGAGGGAGGGGGGAGGAAGATCATTGGAGCACCCAGCTCGTACACCCGCACCTTCTGAGTAGCCTGCCAAGGGGGAGGACGGGGGTCGGGCGGAGGGGGGGTGTTGTGGTACATGGCAACTGGGATTACCACAAAGATCCTGGAAGGGATAGATGTCCTGTCCTCATTTGTGGGTGCACTCAACAACGCATCGGTCACGCCAGATGACCTAGTCGGTTAGTAAATTGCAGTCCCAACATACTACAGGAGCAGTCTGGAGCCACCTTGAGCGGTCCCTCCGGGCCATCACGCCCTTTCAACCCACTCGATTAGCAGGCAAGTTTGCTGAGGAGTCAGGAGAAATGTATAGACAAAGAATAGCAGTTGATAAGAGTAGAGGAGACAATGGAGCAAAAGACGAGAAAAGGATATGTTATGTGCAAAAGACACATGGCTCTCACGCCACTCTCACCCAATCACTGATATGGCTGTCTGTGCCCTCCACTGCCGCCTTCTGCCTTGTCAGCAGCTCAAGCAGCACCACGCCAAAGCTGAGATATAAGGGCGGTTTGTTCAACGGGGGCGGGGAGGAGAGCAACATCTCAGTAATGCTACAAGGAACGTGCTGAGGTACTCCACTTCATACCGCAATATCTGTTGTTTGTTACTATGACAACATGCATACTCACCTGTAGACATCGCTCTTTTCCGAGACCAGTTGGGTTCGGTTGTAGTCTGGGTCCAAGTAGCCTGGGGTGCCGGCCACTCGAGTGCGGTCATCGCCGCCCTCTGCACGGCTGAGCAGCTTGAGCAGCCCGAAGTCGGCAATCTTGGCCTGGAAGTGCTCCCCCACGAGGATGTTGCTGGGCTTGAGGTCGTGGTGCACGATGGGCGTCGCGAAGCTGTGCAAATAGGCCACTCCCTCCGCTGCGCCCACCGCCAGCTGCACCCGCTGCTGCAGGAAAAGGGGGGTTGGGGGGAGATCGGATAGAGTTGGGCGAGACTACATATTTTGCTGCATTTTTCTCTAGTGAGTTAGCGCATCCACAGCACCCAATGCCCAACACCTCTACAACTTTCCCAAAATTCCTAAGCCAACCCCAGTGCCTCCTTCCAACACCCGCTTGCGCTAGCACTGGGTTCTGAACACTAGCCTGCTCTGATACCATGTCAAAACGGAAGGTTGACCATACTCTTGGAGTGGTGGATGTGGTACTTGAGGTCCCCGTTGCCCACGAACTCGTACACGAGGATCTGCTCCTGCTGGCCGCTCTCAACGTTCTGATGCAGGCAGAAGCCCAACAGCCGCACCACATTCTCATGCCGCAGCGACGCCATCGTCCGCACCTGGCAGTTGCGGGGCGGGGGTTGGGGAGTGGAGGGAAGTGTGCAACACGCAAACAGCACAAATGGTTCCAAACACAACGTCGAGTGCACCGAATATCAAGCCACAACCGTTACAAGTACGATAGACTTCGATGTGCCTAAAACGAGAGATAGAGTGAACCGTTGGATTTCGGCCGGGCGCTTCAAATACTTGTCACAAGCTAGTCCATGCACAAAAAGAGAAGGCATAGATGGGATACGGTGAGGCTTGCTGTCATCGTTAATGGATAATCACAGCATGCTTCTTCACACAAGAACCCAGACTGCATTCTCCCCACCTCGGCCTGGAAGTCGTTGGACATGAGTTTGCTGCGCTTGACGGCCCACAGCTCGCCCGTGCTGGACACCCCCTTGTACACCGTGGCAAAGCCGCCCTTCCCCACCACATTGCCGCTCGCCCAGTTGTCCGTTGCCCGCAGAATCTCCCCAATGCTGAACTCCCGACACACGTCCAGGCCGCTCCACCTCCCTGCCACATGAAACGCCAGGTGACATTTCCCAAGGCTTTTACAGTTCGCTGCTTGCTTGTTCAATTTGCACTTACGGTTGCGGTTAAGAGGAAAAGTGGAGCGGAATAGAAAAAAGGGCTCACTGCGTTGTCTCGGCCAGAGCAGCGCCACAATGAGAGCAAGGAGGAGAGCAAAAGCAGCAGCAGATCCCACAGCAATGCCGACCACTGTGCCTGTGGAGAGCGCTGCGGGAGGAATAGGGGGGAGGCAGGTGCAGGGGTGTCAAGTTGGAGAGAGTCGAAGACAAAAAGAGAGGTGGTCCGTAAACACAGACTTGGTGATAAAATTCTCTTCTATATCATACACTATGTTCGAGGTGTTTTAATGAATCCTCAAACTTCTGAGGCGCCTCAAAAGAGGTGTTTTAATGACTCCTCAAACTTTTGAGGCGCCTCAAAAGAGGTGTCTTAATGACTCCTCAAACTATTGAGGCGCCTCAAAAGAGGTGTTTTAATGACTCCTCAAACTTTTGAGGCGCCTCAAAAGAGGTGTTTTAATGACTCCTCAAAGTTTTTGAGGCGCCTCAAAAGTGGTATTTTAATGACTTCTCGAACTGATTGAGGCAGCTGCACCAGACAATGCCTAGCCTCTCAACTTGGTCAGTCTGCTTGCCACAATGACTGCCTAAAGAGCACTGCAAGGTCTGATGTTTAACCATAAGCAGGTTGTCAACATAAAATAGAATCATTGCCCAAGAAAAAGAAAAAGAAAAAGAAACCACGCATTACATGTTCACGTGGTTGGTAATGCCCATAACAGTGTCTGATAGTAACCACTAGACTTGGTACTGGCCAGACCAGAGGTAATCATAAGTCCTGCATTACCAATAAAAATGAATCTTGACCATAGGAGTGTCAAATTACCTAGATGCTATGCTTGATACATACCAGAGCCATCTTCCCTGACATCAAATTTCCCATTTACATGCATTTAGAAACCAGAGTCATGTGCCTTACTCTTGACTTGCAACCCACACTCTTTCGCCTCACATGCCTCAAACATCCAGACAGCATACCTGCTGGGGGGGGCGGAGAAGGGCCGGCGCAGGTGGAGCCGAGGGCGCCATTGGCAGTGACGTATCCTTGGTCACACTCACACATGAACCCCGAACCTGCTGCCCCCGCCTGTGGTGGCACACATGCTCCATGCCCGTCGCATGGCCCCATCTCCCGCGACATGCTGTAGAAGGCCAGGCACGCGTCGCTGCTGCACTGCGTCTCATTCGCCGTGCACTCCAGCTGCTGATTCAGTGTGAAACAGTTCTGCCGCAGGCTCGTCGTGCCTCGCTTGTTGGCCCCTGGAAGAGCTTGGAAACGACGATCGCCACAACGCCCACTCATACCCATCCCGAGGTCGAAAATGTCAAGGGCATTGGGCTCGATGCTTCCCGAGGGGCAGAACTGGCAGCCATCGGCATAGAGCATGGGGTCGCCATAGAAATAGTTGCCTGCGATGTTGAGCAGAGCCCCATCGTTGGGAATCATGCTGCGGAAGTTGCTATTGATGGGCCCGTAGAAGCTGTTGTTGCTGATGTCACTGGGGGGGAGCACGAGAAGGAACGAAAGGGAGGACAAGCAGACTAGATGAAGGTATGGCATAAAAAGAAGGCGAGGACATACTTGCCACGTCTGTTTGCCTCGAGATTTTCTCACCAATTTAGGGCAAGTATTCTTTACTCACGGGGCAAAAATTGCTTGTTCGCGAAGTGTGCGGGTACAAATGTAAACAACGTCTTGGCTCGTCCATTATTTTCGGATCAACCAAGGTTGGACTTTCGTTTTTAGGCCTCCTATGACCCTTTCAGAGTATCAGGGGGATACTTCAACTGTTGGTTGGAGCTGACACTTTATTCTTAGGGTTACCCTCTAGAGAACATAGCCTAGTCACTTCGTAGTAGGCCCTGCACCAAGCCTTTGTACCAGTCAAGGTCAATAGAGGGCTAGATCTACACGAGTGAGGTCGCTTATGAAATGACAAAGGAGCCCAGATTTACTCACATCCTGTGCAAGCATTGCTCGTAAAGACATGAAGGAAATTCTCCATAGAAGTAGTTGTTGCGGAGAAACCTGGAGTGAGGGTGCGATCGAGAAGAATGGCCATTTGAAAAAAAAGCATCATTGCTTGCATCACTGTGTTTCCCAAATAACAAGGCAGGGAAAGTACGGCTGGATAGGGGGCTGTAAGATGGACAGCAGAAGTGATGCTCTGCTAAGCGAATACATGGTGTTTAGATCGGCGAGATCGCATATGGAAGGAGGGAGCTTGCCCATAAGCTGGTTGTCGTACACAGACCTGCTGGCATGCAACAAAAAGTTACGAGAGTTTTGAAGTGGGGAAGAGCAAATGTGGTTTTGCATCTGAGTGGAAATCACTATGGGAAAAAAAGAGGAAAATCGTTCAGTTTAGCTTGTGCCATTGCTGAGCATTGAAGGACAAGGTTAGATTGCATGTTCTGCATTTTCTCCGACTGCACTGGGAATTCATACAGATACGCATTGTAGTACGTCTCACTGCCAAGGCTGAAATTAGGGTTGAGCAAAATACCCGCGCGGGTCGGGTACTCGGACCCGGATCCGCTTTTTGGGCGGATCGGGTATCTGGCTTCCCGGAAATTACCCAGCGGGTCGGGTCCGGGTATTCAGGCTGGTATTTGCTACCAGTTACCCGAAATGTTACCCGACATATCCGGTGACGGGTATCCGTCGGGTCGGGTATTTGATACCCGACTTCGGGTATCAATCCAAAAGCGGATCGGGTATACCCGACCCGAAATAGGGTCGCGCTGCTACCCGTCGGCAGCCGCGCGACCAAAATGTGTTAGGGTTGAAATTTCCAACCCTGCTCGCCAGATCTAGTTTCGACCTAGCCTAAGCTAACATCTTCCACCTCCTAATCTAACCCGCTTTAGCATCACACCCGCCTGCACCCTATTAGTTAGAATTTCGTGATGAAAACGGTTTAGGGTTTGGTTAGTGGTTGTTTGACTTAGGGTTTAGGGTGGCTGTAGATCATGATTCCAAGGGATACGCACCCCCGCGAATTCCCTGCTGCTGCACCAATTATACGGTTTAGTAAGTACGACGTTATGCAGTTTTACGACCGCGACGGGCATCCCGTCCCTTTCGGAGGCGATCGAGAGGAGGGCGCCGGGTTCCAGAGCGGTGCTCTCCCTGGAGCATCTTTCAGTGGCCTCCCTCAACCCAGCGGCTGCCAGAGCTTTTCTCTTGGGAGCGGTGTCGGTGCGGATGAGGGGCGGGAGGATGAAGTGGTGGAAGAGTTGGACGGGGGGCGATGCAGGCGCGGGGGGGGAGGGGGGGGAGGGGAGCGGGGGGCAAGCCGTGGTGGGGGAAACGGTGGTGGGGGTGGGGGAGGGGGGGGAGGAGGCGATGGTGACCAGGAGTGGTAGCCCAATGCGGAGGAAGAGGATGAGATGTCGGGAGATGGACACAACAAGGGGAAGGGGAGGGGGAGGGGAAAGGGGAGGGGAAGGGGGAGGGGGAGGGGAAGAGGGCGCTGCCGTGGTGGACGTGGCAGGGGGAGGGCAGCGACGGGGGGTGGCAGCGGGGACATGAGTGGCGCGGGGGAGGTGGAGGGCGGTGGGGATGCAGCGCGCTCGGGGGATGCTGAGGGCGAGGGGGAGGGGGGTCATGCGGAGGGCGTCGCGCCGACGCCAGGTCGGCGTGGCACCCTGGGTGGGAGGGGTGGGGCACGGGAGGACGGCATAAGCTGCCGCGAGTGGGTGACAGTTCCCAGGTGACTGTGGGGTACTGGGGAACGGTACCTGGACTGATTCACCGGATGTTCTTTGAGCCACAGGTGGAGGACGGTCTGCGTTGCTGCAAGGTTTGCGAGGCGACCATCGGTTCGAGTGAGAGCAGCACTGGGTCGGCACAGAAACACGCCCGTTCCACATGCCTCATCGGCAGATCTGGTACCGGCTCTTCACCGACCCCAACAAGAAGCCGGGCTTGGATTTTCCAGCGGGGGGGTACCCAGGGGTGCCGGGCGGCTCAGAGCCGTGGGAGCACGCTGATGCCTACCCCGACATCCCCGGGTCCAGCACAGGCAGTGCGGGTGCTGGTGGCGAGACGGCTAGCGGCAAATTCCGTAGTTCTTTGGGCGTCGGGTCACGCAGGAGTGACTGCATCTCGCTCTTGTCGAGCTCTACGCAGACGCGGATCTGCCTTTCCGCCTGGTGGACCAACCCTCAGTATGGATCTCCAATCCAAACTTGCACGCAGTGGCGAACCCACCTCCGCAAGTAGTTGTATTCTGATCCAGTTTTTTGTAGCCCTGCCCAATCTAACCCTGCGGTTTTTGTTTCGCATGAGCCATCCACCCCCTACAATTTCGCCGCTACACCTCCCTCAATCCCCAGGCCGCAGAGCTACTAGGCTCCTGATTCTGCCTTGCGCGCGACATGCTCATGCAGGGCAATGCCGCGCGCGAACGCCAGCTGCAAGGGATATTCGGCGACGGGGCGGCAGGGAAGGTGTCCCTCACCTCGGACATCTGGTCCAGTTCAGCACAGGACGCGTTCCTGGCTGTCACGGCGCACCGGATCATGACGGATTTCCAGCTGCGCCAGGCTCTCATGGAGTTCGAGGAGATCAAGGGGTCGCACACAGAGGTCCTGATTGCAGAGACCTTGGAGAAGGTCATAGTGGAGTGCCGGCTGTGCGACCACGTGCTCAGCATTGCGACGGATAATGCCGAGAAAAACATCAAGGCGCTCAAGATCCTGACTAACGACGAGAACACCGAGGGAGCGCGCGACCCTCCCGTGCTGGTTGCCCGCTTCTTCTTCAGGTATGTAGTGGAACCGTCTTGTGCTTGCCCCTTTGAGAACCACTGTCGTTTCAAACGCACGTCCATTGTGTTGCATCGTCAAGTAATCTCTCTAAGCCCGGTCCTTTGTCGCCTCCTCACATTTCCCCCTCTACCT